AGTAAAATGAGGTGTCACACATGGGACACTGTTTCAAGCACTCAGGAAAGGCATGTTCTTATTGTTTCGTGGAGCCAACATAGTGCAGGGACAGCCAGGACTTTTACCAGGCAACTGGGGGAGTCACCCTCCTCCAGCTGCAGAGGAGACTGCAAAAAGACTTTCCTGCAGAAAGACTCCACTGAGAAGGTAAGCCATTATTTTAAAAAAGCCAAAGGCCAATGAACATGTGCAACAGTTTGGAATGAAACATGCTTTTTACAGAAATACAGCATAAGGACAGAAGGACATACAGGTCAGGAATCACCAGCAAACTACATAGCAATGATGTAATCCGAGAAGAATTACATAGAGGAGCTCAAAAGTTGACACCTCCTCTAGGTCACAACCCAAGCTTTCAGCAAGAGAACCTGATTCAAAATTACTGGCATGTAAGAGCAGCTGTAGCAAAGCAGAGCCCAGGCCCACCTATGCAAGCCAGTATTATGCCTTCGACAGGGACCTGCCACCAGATGCCTCACATAAAACGTAAGTGATGCTGCCCCAGCTTCCAACAATCCAGTTCCTCATTGCCCAGCTCACAACAATCTGCAGACTGGGAACTGCCCATCCTAGGCACACAAACAGCTTCAGAGAACATAAATGCACTAAAACTTTTGCATCAACTTTTCTAGTTACTGTGAGCTCAGCAGAGAGAGGCACTCTGTTCCCTCCATCGCAGGCATCCTCTTTGGCAGCAGCAAGAGTCACCCAGGAAGACTGGGATGGACCTTTGACTGGTGACATGCCAAAACAGCCTCAACAGTACCAGGCAGCAGATATCCATCACAGCAAAAGCTTCCCTAAGAATGTTGGCAATGGCCTCCTAGGTGGCAAAGGAAACACGTTTTGGCAAAAAGGACTTATTTCAAAACTGCTTCAACAAAATGGCCACTACTGGGCCACCTCTGATGAGTTATGCCATGTTAACCAACCCTTGTTCTAGAAGGCCCCATGTGAACTCTCAGAGTGAGCCAGGAAGAGCTGCAGGGAAGCAAAGGAAGTGAAGCAGTGTCATTTAAGGGATGCTACAGAGTAACCTGAAATAAAGATATGTCATTGCTAAAATTCAACAGGATACTGCAACAGCTTGATTACAATAGCGCTCAGGACAAGTCAGACTTTTTTAAAAGACTCCTTATGGAAAGCAACACTGCTGAACATCTTCACCCATCAACACCTGCTCCCCATCTGATCCAGCTTCCAGAAAATTAAGGAATCAGTACATCGCCTGGACTGTGTGGTAAACAAGGGCTCGCTCGCTCTCTCCTCCGCCTCCAAGGGTCCTGCAAGCCCAGCATAAAGGCCAAGTCTTTAATTGTACAACAGGGAGACTTAACTGAACAAAAGGCAGAGGGGGATGATAATCGTTTCACAAGATTGTGGCAGAATTTAGAACACCGTTACTAATGCACTAATGCAAAGCTTCTGACACCACTCGCAACAGGTTAAAACAGTCTTCCGGAAAAAAAAAAAAAAAACAAAAGCAAAACAACAAAAAGCATGCAAGGGTCAAGCCCCTGCGAGGCTGTGCAGTGGCACTGGGCGCTGGAGGGGCGGCACAGCAGCGCTGCGATGGAGCCGGGCTCGGTGACCGCGGCCAGGTGCCCCCGGGTCCGGGGTGCCGGGAGGGCGCTCCGGGGCCCCGCTGCCGCACACGGGCCCGGGGGCACCGCTTTGTCCCCGCTCCCCCGGGACCGCCGCCCCCAGCCCCTTCTCCGGCCCCGCTCCCCCGGGGCCGCCGCGCCTCCCGCCTCCCGTCCCTGCCGCCGGTGCCGCCATTTCGGGGCGCTCCGCCTCACCCTCCGCAGCCGCTCCGCGCCGCCGCACGCCCCGACCTGCCGCGCTGCCTCGGAGGGAGGGAAGGCACCCCCTGAGCAGGGCGGGAGGGAGGCGCGGCCGGCCCAGCCCACCCCAGCCCGGGCCGCCTCCCCCCGTCACCCGGGCGCTCGCTCCGGGCCCGGCCCCGCTTCGCACCCGGTCTGCTGCTGCCCCTGCCCGTGGGAACAGCGCCCCGAGCGCGGCGGTGCCACCGCGGCCCCTGCAGCGCTGACCGCGGCTCTCGGCTCCCGGGCCTCACGCTGCCATCTCCATTGCCTCAGGCAACACGTTACAGCGAACTCCAACCGGAGCGGCTTCTTTTTTTTTTTTTTTTTCCTTTTTAAGGCGTCGGACCTGGTTGTTAAAGAGTTTTCCATGAAACACCCTGTAAATCAAGATCAAGCCCTGACTGGCACATTGCCTCATCCTTCCATTACCTCACTTTCAGCCGCAGCCCACATACCTCAGTGCGGAGCAGCCCTGAGCCGGGGGAAAGGCCCTCGCCCGCTCCCCTCCATGGCTGAGTAGTTTTTCAGGGATGGTGGTGAAGAGAGGAGATCTGGTCAGAGAGGGAGGAGGTATGGGCAGGGAGCGAGGGAAAAGCCAGCTTAGGATCTCCTGGGTGCTTGCCCTGAGTGTGACATTTAACCTCTCCATGTGCCCAACTCAAAAATCACATCATCTTTCCCAAGGAGTAAACTCACTCCTCTCTTCCTCAGCCCGGGGAATTTATAATCCCATGAGAATCCTGCCCAAGCTTTGTCTTGGAGCTGCTGGAGAGCCAAGTGATCGAGCAGAACCCTGGGGGACCAGGTCATGCTTACACGCTGGTAGGTTTCTTGCAGGGAGCGTGTGGCAGAACCTGGAAGCCACAAGCCCCTGGAAGCCCCTAACCCAGGCCTCAGCCCTCCTTGGAGGAGTCCCGGGTACCCTGCTCCACTGGGCTACTGCCTTCTTGCCATGTCCAGGGTTTCCATGCACAAACAGGAGAAAACATAACCCCCTGCCCCAGCAGATTTGGGTCAGCAAATAGGCACGACCAGGCACAAGTGTTGCCTGTGCAGAAATTGTGTGCTAGGGAGTGCCTGTGGTGGCTAAAGGTGAGACACACCACAGGACCCCTCACCTCCCAGTTCTCAGCTTATTGCTGGAGCAATAGATATTTACTGGAGATACCTGTTTCCCTAATTTTACCTGGTCAGGTGTCCTGTGGACTAGTGATTTCAGAAGAAGCACACAGCTACACTTGTGTTTACAGAACAGGGCCTTACCAAACCACGTGGTTTGATACACATACAAAACATACCTTGCAGGCTGGAGAGTCCGGAGATGGATTATTGTAGCCACACCAAGGGAAATTTTCATGTGACTCATAAACAGCCAGATAAGTAATGAGCATCTGCTCACAAAGCTCTGAATTGCAGGGCCATAGGTCTGTTAGCATTGAGTGGAATATTCCCAAACAGAGCTTTAAAGGTGTGTAGTATGGGCTGTGACATATGTTAATACTTGGAGATAAGTGCTTGGTCAATATCTATCTATATATATAGATTAAGCAATTAACAGGTAAAAAGAGCATGAAAAGAAACAAACAGAAGAAGGTGACAGGACAGAAAATAATATGTGAGAGGCTGCATGATCCCTATAGCCGGAACTCATTAAATGTGTGTAAATAGAAACTGTCCCTTGGAGTTCACACTGCTGGAATAAAGAAGGTAGAAGAAAACAACATCTCAAACCTTTGCAATTCCCGCATTAGTCCTATGGGAAAGCTTTAAACTTAACACTGTGGCTTAATGCTCTCTTTTCACCCCTGTTTTGGCTTTTCAAAGAGATGCTGTCAGGCTAATCCTCTTATGCTTACCCTTAGCATATTAACATGAAAGAGACAAGTGAAACGCAAAGCAGAGCGAGGTCCCTTTGCTGGCATGCAGAGATTGGTGGGACCATGGCTGCTTATCGGAGCAGCTGGTGGTTTTTGTTTTTGCTTTTGCCCCTAAATCTGATTGTATACGCAGCTGCACTGTTGCCTGTGCCAGGATAAAGCTTCCCGGGCTATAAAAAGAGTACTTTCTTGGGATAGGATTCCAAAATACCTTACAGGGTATGTGCAAAAAGTCACTTGTTCCCTAAGAGACTGCAGCCAATATGGTGAAGGAATAAGGCCCCAGGCAGTCTTATTTTGCATCCTCACTTATCTCATGCCACCTCAGGATATCCCCATTATTTGATTTTCATTTATCCTGCAGTTTCCAGTAGTCACTTGCAAAGGGTGACTGCTCCCGGTCTTCCGTTTAGAGGCAGGAGAGATTCTGACAGGGGGATGTAGTAAAATGAAGAATTTTTGTGGAAACTCTGCTCTAGTTTGGGTCTGGTATCAGACAGGTTTAAAAACTAACAACATGCCCCTTTAAACTGTGTCTGGGTGTTCGAGCAGGAATTATTGTGCTGAGAGACAAAAGACCTTCCAGGAGAAAACCCCACCCTGGTGCTTACTGTTGTCCACCGCTCAAACTCTGTGCCATTTTGTCATGCTTGAAACAAAAATCCATCTTTTCCTGCTAAAAAACCCCATGATGTTAAAATGAGCTACTTGTGTTACCAATTTACAGCAGGGGAAATGAGCAATAATTTGTTTGGTCAAGACTGCAGTGATTAGTTCTGTAATGCACGAACATCCAGGTGGAGCCATGCCAGGGTACAAGGATTAAAAGCAACCAAATTCATAACTCTAGTGAAAAGGATGCATGGGAAATTGATAAAATAAAGGTTTAGTTCTACAGATAAAAGTAACAAGGTGAGAACGTGCCCTCTCTGAAAGCACTACACCCCCAGACACTGGGGAAGCATCTCTGTTTTTTGTCCTCCCTGCCCTGCCTTCCCTGATCAGCTGGACTCTGGCTGCTTGAAAGAGGTAAAAAAAGACTGGAGATTATTTTCTCCTCTTCTGCCTCCAAGACATGGGTTCCTGATTGACTCTCTCCCTACTTATAAGACCCCCTGTGTACCATCATGGGGGACAGACAACATCCTGAGCAGTGAGAAGTCACAACAATCAGTAACTGAAGATGGGAGGCTGAATCTCCTGCAGCGTCTGAAAAAAAAAACCTCTCAACACAGTGGTTTGTAAGACAGCATTTCTTTATTATCTGTACTGTTTGCACACTAAGAAAACATGCTTAAGGTTGTACATTAAAAGAACCTGGTAGTTCTTGTCATTGCAATATGACAGCACTGATCAAGGTACTACACAGACTGCCTGTATTTGTGTGTCAGCTGTAATTTCATGCCTTTGTCTTTGATGTGCTCTATACAGAGTGCAGGAGGCGCACGTTCAGAACATTAGCTACTGCTCTCTTCCTTCTGCATCAGCTTCCCAAGTCCTGCTGCTGCAGGTAAGTAACTTTAGCATTACTGATGTGCCACAACCAAAGACACCAGTTCTTGGCCAGCCACTCCATGTTAACCGGCACCTGGAGCTCCCCTAACACAGGTGGTGGGTTTGACCTGTTCAACAGGTGATAATGCCTGTGCTCCTGCACGCCCACGCTGGTTAGAAAGTCACATCTATGTCCAGATTAGAGGTGTTTTCTGAAAACACAGATGATTTCTCTTCCCACATATTGTGTCTTGCAAACACAAGGAGTCCCACTGGCAGCAATGCTGGTGTTACCCTAGGCTCCACAACAGCTACCCTGGTTCTGGACCTTTTCTAGCTTTCTGCTTCCTAATTTCTGGAAGGCATTACTGCAGTTAAACACAGTGTGAGCCACAGCCAGCCGACAGTAAGGAGTGAGCAGGAGCTTATTACATTTGGCTATTCTTTTTACTCAGAAATCCTGCTCTTGCAGAGAAAAACTTCCTCTTTCCTATCAGGAGTAAAGGGCACCAGGAGGAACCATGGAAATTCTTTGTAACTTTCACACTGATGGTCTGTAAGTGACTCAGAGCACTTTTCCTGCATGGGATATTCCCAGAGAAATTTGTGCAATAAACAGACATTCAGAGTAACCGCCTTATCCCAAGGGAAGAAGCTATGCCAACGGGCACAAGGCTGGGGCCAGTTCCTACCTCAGCCCTCGCCTCCCCTCGCTCTGCTTTGCCCCACTCCTGAGTGACAAGAAGGTCCCTTCCCAATGGGATCAGGTTCAGTTCAGCTCTTTCTCAGGCCCTGCACCAGGAAAGCGAGGTTGTTGTGCAAAGGCACTGCAAGAGAAAAAGGTGCATTTGACACAGACAGTGGCCTTGTGCTTCCAGCCCAGGTAGATTTGAAAGCACTGCAGGAAAGGCAGTTCCAAGTTGCCGGATATTCTTCAGGAAAGGACAGGAGAATGGGAGGAAACAGGCAGCGTTCAGCCTTAAAACAGGCTATATATGGCTCCCCTAGTTTGTACAGCTCTGGCAATGGGTTATGAATCAGCAACACATGTCAGCGCCTGTGAGTCCCAGGGCAACTGCTCTGTGTTCCATAAACAGTAGGAGAGGGACAGTGACAAGGTCCATTAGGGTAAAAATGAGATGAAAGCCACTGGGGTGACTCATTCTATCAGTTCATACCATATTCATGCATGGAATCAGTTGACTACAATATTGACAAGCCCAACTTTATTTCGGACTAAATACAGGGCCTTATCCAGATCTTAAGGAAGTGGTGGAAGTGTTCTCACTTACCACAGCAGGATCTCAGCGGGGCAGTTACTGTCACAGAGCCAAGAGGAGATGCTGTTCTCCGAGATGGATGGATCACTATTTAAAGAAACTTAAATTTGGGCTAACTCTATCTCTTACACTAAAAAATTCTATTTAAGACAGCAACCACTGTGTCCTCCACTCTCTGCTGCTAGGCCAGTTCTTTACCAGAGGGAAAAGGAATAAGACTTCATCCCTTTACAGGGAAGCAAACTCTCCAGACAGAAGGCCCAGTTTGTCCTACTAGCCAAGACCAGCCAAATTCCCCCAAAGAAGCAGAGGCCTCCAGAGACCAGGGCTGCATGCAGAGTTGGGAAATGGAACAGTGCAGATAATATGCACATTTTGGCCTGATTTAGTGCCTCAAAATTCACAGACTGGGAAAAGCTTCAGCTTCCCCAAATCTCTGCAGAGCTGATACCATCAGATTCAGCTTGCTTGAAAGGAACCCCCAGCTTCACGATACAGTGCTGGCACATGTCTCTTGCTGACACACTGATGTGCCTTATGTGCAGCACCCTTTCCTCCTGCCCATATCTTCCAGCTGCAGGGCATTCTCCCTCTGCCTGTCTTCTTGTGCTGTCAGCAACCTGGAAAGAGCAGCACAGACCAAGAACACAACCTGGTTACTGAGATCTCCCTGCCAAGGCATTTGCCTCTGCCCTTTGCTCCCCACCAGTCACTTAGGATTATAAGAAGTGACTGTCCAAAAGACCAGATTTGGGCTACATAAACCACCACACACAAAAAATAAGCCTGAATTTCCAGGGAACAGGGAAAGAAACTGGACACATATAAGAGGGGACCGCAAGGCTCAGCAGTCAGAGCACCTGACAGGGGTGTGAGTGGTCTGTGCCTTATTCCCAAGCTCCTACATTGATGTCAGAATCTCGGGCTGTTTGCTTGACCTGTCTGGGCCATCTTGGGCACCAGCATGGTAATAAAACACGCTGAAGGCATGTGCTATGAGAGACACAATTTATCTCACTGATAAGCAAATTATCCCACTTAATAAACAACTAAGTCCTGCTGTGGAGTTAACAGAGATGATGTGCCAGGAGGAGGTGAGGGCATAAAAGGAAACAAAAGGATAGTTTCCTTGCAAGATTTCAAATACTTTGTTTCCAAAACTACCTTTTTTTTAAAAAAAATAAAAATAAAAATCTTAGAGCAAACTTCTTTCAGCCTAACAAAGTGTCTTATCTCCCTTTAAAACCATTGCCACCAAAATAGTATGGTTGGTACAATGCTTAGTAAGATAAGGAAGAAAAAACCGTTAGAGGTACATGCAGACTTCCAAAATATCGAACTGAAAAACTGTGATAGTACACAAGGTTTATGTGGGGAAATATTCAAATTAAACTCCCAGTCTTGCCACACCAGCTCTGCCAGATGAAATTCTGTGTGTGAAAAGTGTCCAATCTACAACTGATGCTCTCCAGGAGCAGAAGACAACGACCTGGAGTCAGGAAGTCAGGTCTTTTTTGTGACATGGCAGAAAGTCAGTCTCTGACACCCCCCTCTTCTTGCCCATTCCCCAGGACAGCCCACACCAGTCATGTACAGCGAGAGAAATATCCCAGGGTGACTGTTCCTGTTCACTGACCTGGCCATGTGCAGCATGGGCTCCATGATGTTATAGCCAGTCATCGCACTGCACTCATAGAAGACAGCCTTGTATTCCTGCAAGAGAGCACAGCAAGCACACATGTTGGCTGCCACCTTTCCACCACCATTCATTCACATCCTTGGGACCTAGTTCACCCCCACCACCAGCAACTCTTCCAAGAGCAGTTGGGGGCCAGGAGAGTGGCTGTTATCACCCCTTCCCCAGCTCAGGCAAAGGAGATGCTTTTCCAGCATTGGGGGCCCAGACAGAGCATCCAAAAGGGAGTACTGGGGAAGTTGTTTGGGAAGAGAAAATATCTGCTCAGGGTACTTTAATTCCTTTACCTTTGTGTTGCAGAGTTCAGAAGATGGGGAACTACTTTGAGCCTCCCCTCACCCAGGGGCCAAGGTCCCAGAAAGCATCCCTCAGATGGAAAAAGTGCCATTCAAGTTCCCCTCAGAAAGACTGTAACAAGGCATGGAGTCTCAAGAGAAATAAATGAGCCTGCCTCAAGGGCCATTGTCTGCCACATAAAGGCCACCATCTCATCCTGCCTGGTACCAGAGGGACCTTGGTACATGTTTATATTGGAGAAATAGGGGGTGGGGGAGAGAGGCAAGGTACCATACTGGAAAATGGCTCCAAGAAGGGCTTTCTCCCAGCCAGGCTGCCCTGCTGACAGCTGGAGGGAGGCTGCAGAGCAGGTCAAGCAGCAGAGTACAGAGTCACACCTTCGCCAGCCTTTCCCCCTCCACCTTGGGCACATTCCGGGTCTCTCTCTGCACAGCATCCATTTTATTTCCAAGCAGAAAGACCACAGCTCCGTCCTCGATACCTTCCTGCAAAGGAAACAAGAGTAAAGCACCCTGGAAACTCAGCTGAAGGAGGGAAGTAACTCAGATCAGATCCTTCCAGCTCATGCAAACAAGACCTTCAGCAGCAGGATTGGGCCCTTTAGCTCATTAAAGGACCATTCCTTCAATAGCCCCAGGGATTTGTGGAAAGAAGTTAAAGCTACTGGAATGCATTCCAAATCTCTGGCATGTTCAGCTGGGATGCTGAGAGAGGGGAGACACGACATAAATTCATCTCAGGGAAATAACATGCCTAAGGAAAAGCAGCTTGCCCCAAAGGCTGTTGGGAACTTGAGATCAGGCAGAGCTTCTTACTAAAGTTCAGTAATTTTTGTGTGTATGTGATGTACTATTCCTCTGATGTGCTGTCCTAAACAAAATGATCTCTTGCTAAAAATCCATTGGCCCAGCAAGATAAGCAACTTTCAACTCTTGTACACTGTCTCTGTAGGGACTGCTTAGTCACAGGCGATTCTTGGTGCCTCTTACATCTCTGGCAAAACTCCCTCAGGTTTCACTGGCTCACTAGAACATCACCAGAGTAAGAACAGGGCTCAAAGTTATTTCCAAACTTGAGTGGCCTGGATGACATAATACAGTACCTGAACAGCTTCAAAACAAGATAAATACACAGATGGGCAGAGGAAAACAAGAGAGATATTAAAAGTTATGTATTTTGCCTGCTTTGATTTTCTGTGTGCTCCCTTTAACCTTCCTGAAAGAAGCCTGATTTTCAGAGGCTGGTTAGTTTTTGAAAATCTTAACCTTTGATCTTTTAGAATCCAAAGAAATAGCTGAGTGTTTGTTTGTTTGTTTGTTCCAACAGGCTTGTGGAAGTTAACAATATTAGAAACCTCCATCCTATGCTTATTAATTTCCCAGGGACCTTGGTTTTTTTGAGACTCGGCACAATCAAAACAAAGCCACCCTTCACAATTTCCATTCAACATCTTGATCATCTACACACAGCTTATTTAAATTATATAGAAGGGTATTTTTGTCTCCCCAAGCAGATACAAGCCACAGATGAACGCTTTTATTGAGTGTTTGGAAACAAAAGGCAGGGGGGCAAGCTACAATATTAATACACAGTTACCAAATAAAGAAAAAAAGAAGAGAAAAATTATCAATTCTTAAAGTTGGAGCAAACGAGGGAAACAAAAAAAAAGCTATTAATGATAATGCAGTCCCATCTAGAAATCTCCAGGCAGAGTCAGGATGTGACCATATAAAGTGTTGTGCTGCAGGTCTGAGCCTAAATGCACCAGGGCTGTCTCCCTTTCCTGTGTGTAGTCTGACGCCAGGGGATCTCCTTACCTGAGCACAGGTGTGATGTGACCATGTTTAGATGTTGCCAATGCACATGGGCTGCTTACAAACAAAGACTGTTGTTTGGGCAGGTCCCACCACATTCTGCCACAGAAACAGCCCTCCTTCACTCAGTGGCCTGCACTGGCTTTGGGATCTTCAACACAAAGCCCCCGGTCCCAGACTGACTCCCGCAGGCAGTACCCACAGCATCTGCTTTGGTAATTCAACTCCACAAGGACCTCCTGGGGCACTGGGGAATGTCGCTCCCAGACAGGCTGCTGGAACTGGTCTGGAGCAAGGCAGTGGCAGCACCAGGAGCACTGGAGAGCCACGGTCCCACCCTCACCTGGATGCTGCTCATCCAGTTCCGCACTGCCATGAAGGAGCACTCAGCTGTGATATCGTACATCACCAGAATCCCATCTGCCTTCCGGAAATACTGCTTGGTAATGCTCCGAAACCTGAGCCCAAACAAAACCAAAGGCACGCTCAGAACCACAAGAAACAAGAGTGGGATTATCTGTCTTTTAGTGCAGGCCCTTTGCGAGGCCTGGCAGCCCCCATGCATGTCCCCTGGGGCAAAAAGTCAAATCCTTGCACCCCTGAGGCAGGCCAGGCAGCCAAAGGTAAGCAGGAGCCTTTCCAAATGCATGGTGCTGAGAAAGCAGGAAGGAAGACCTTTGCAGGTCAGGAAGAAAGAAACAGAAGAATCTGCTTAGGTGGGATAGGAAAAGGAAATTGCCTATGAAAAGGGAAAAAATGTGATCTTTCCCTAGAATCTGGAAGAATCTGCAGACTAAGCTGTACCACAGTACAAACTAGGCATGCATAATGTCTGCCCCAGTGCTGCCAAAACAGCAATTAAGATCTCAGCATCAATAGAGTCTGTTTACAGTTTTGAATCTGTAAATCAATGCCATCATACATAAAAAATTAGGGGTTAGACATAATTTCCAGGAAAAACTCCCACCAGACATCTACTGTGTCCTCTCCATACCAATTAAAACCACAGGCTTGTATTTTTTGAATAAATTTCGAGGGAAAAAAAACCACAACAAAAACAAAAAACCCCAAACTCAAACCTTAAAAATCTGTAAGCAGTTTGTGACAGAGCCATGATATAACCACACAGTTTGCAAACTGATGGAATTAAACGTAATGTAAGTACTGAGATCTCACTGGAAAGCCGTGTATTTCAGCCCTGCATAGGACAGCACACTCTACTGTTCTATTATGAGCCAAGAAAACCTGCAGCAAGATGTGACCCTCCTGAACTCTTCAGATGATTGCCTGGAGCCTGTTCTTTCTCACTGCAATAAGGGCATGACACTCTGGCAACTACCCAACTGAGAAAGCACAGATTGTGTCTTTGGCAGTCAAGGTGCATCTCTGCAACTGCCAGACAGGCCAGATGCTCCAGAAAAAACATCAAAGGTAGCATGCACCTTTCTCCAGAAGCAGTAAAAGCTTTTGTTTCTTCCCATGTCTCCTAATCGGAGCCAAGTTCTCTCCTTCAAGCACACATCTAAGACCTGCTAATGCTAAAGATCCTTCTGCAGGCAATATCTTGAATTTGGCCTCTGATGCAACCTGACCCCAGTAAAATATTACATTTTATGTCATAACTCCCCTTACTGCTAAGTTTCAGCACTGAAGTATCCACAGGAGTCCTTTCAGAAATCATTATTTCTTCAGCATGGAGTTTGATTTGGGAAGAGATAGTTGCTTTTTGATAGGAAATCCTACTTAGTACATTTCCACCAGGTCCAGCATGGTCCAGCTGACTGAGGCAGACAGCATCATTGGCATAGTTTAAGATTATAATATTCCCATGACCTCAGCTGCCTCCTGAAGGCCTGCCCACATAACATATTTAGTCCTAAATACCCAGTACTTATTTTTGTCCGGCCCTTGAGGTTCATGGCCTCCTTGAAATAGCTTTTCATCTTAAGCTTCAAAGTGTATCCCAAGTAAAATGTGATTTACATGAAGGTAGTGATGGGTTTTCATCTCCCGTAGCAGATGAGGGTCAAATGTGTCCTTTACTACTCTGGTCCTCACCAACAGTGCTGATAATACCTAGAGGTGGCCCATGCTTTTGAAACTAGAGGCCTTCAAATGGGAACCTGTGTTCACTGTCACAAAAAGCTGCACAGTCCCTCTACCAAGGATTATCACTTCCACAAGTCTATCAGCAAAAGGGACAGTGGGAGGGGCCCATAACCTCACTGACAGAGTCAAGCAGGGTAGTTCAAATCACCTTCCCCACAGGTCAAACTAATTCAGCTGGCTCAGACAACTGAATCTGACCTGGAAAGGTTCACACAGTCCTTTCCATCCCCTGAATAGCAGGTAGTGGTGAGCAGCTGGGGACAGGAGTAGCACAACCAAATCTGAGAGCAGAATGTCTATCCAGAGCCTTAGTTTCTATCCTAACCTGTAGCCCTGTCCTGCAGCTTTTCCCAGAAGCAGGCTGATGCAGGAGAGCTTTGAGGATTGGAGGAGCTTTGAACTTCACACCATACAGTGATCTATGGCCAGACTACCTGGAGCCACAAGCATGCAGGTCACACATATGGAAAACTGCTTTTCTGCCAGTCCTGTGAGAGATCTCCCCAGGCCTTGCTCCACAGCGAAAACTTCTAGAAATCTCTTGAAAGAGGCCTTTGCTGCAAGTTGTTGCACTGGAATAGCTGCTGTGACCTCTCTGGTCTTTCTGAAGCTAACAGTTTTCCCTGAGGTAGAAACGAGCTGCATGCACTTTCCCTGTCCTACAGTGAGTCTGGCAGTAGGGCGCCCTCACAGAAATTACTTACCTTTCTTGTCCAGCTGTATCCCACAGCTGCAAGGCAACCTGGGTGTTATCCACCATTAGACTCTTCACCTGGTAATCAATACCTGTCAGGAAGGTAACAATGATCACAAGGTAGGAGAGGGAGAAAGCAGCTTATTGTTACAACGGCCAGGGATCAACTCTATTTACTTCAGGGAAATTGCAAGATTGATTCAATACTGGGAGAGGGACCATCTTGACCTTTAGTTTTGCTATAATACAGGCAAAAAACCATTCATCCAGGCTGACTTTCCCACCCTTCTTATCCAGATGAGTCAGGGACCCTACTACTTACCAATGGTTGCATTGAGCTCAGCCAAGAACCTGTCATAGCAGAAGCGGTGGATGAAGGAACTCTTCCCGACACCAGAGTTCCCTACAAACACCACTTTAAAGATGCGATCTGGGGAACAGCTGGCTGGTTCCAGTGCCTGGAGCTACAATGGAAGAAAGGGACTCAGTTTTGAAAAGCCCAGCTTCAGGCTGTGCTTTGATCTGTGCAGGCATTGGACCCCTGCACTATAAACCTATGGAGCTGGAGTTAGATGGGAAGAGTCAGAAACCCTCAAGTCCCTGGTAGCAGGTGTTTGAGGAAGAACCCCAAGTAACTGCACTCACCCTGGTTTCAGTGCCAACAGGCTGTGCTCTAGGAGGCAGCGGAACAGCATCTAAGCCATCTGCTTTTTTTCTGCAGTCAGTGTCACCCTTCAAAGTCATCTTAAACCACTCAGTATCTGCCGCCAAGGGCCATCTCTCCTTGTCTCTGGGGTTGTCTCCAAAGTTTGTACTTTCTCCTTCTCCCGTCTTCATCCATGTCCCGTTGCCTGGGAAGTATTTACAGTTCTTTCTGCTGGGTTCTTCCACTGCCACATCCGCTGGGAAGGCGAAGGGAAGGTCCGCAGAGGCCAGTTGTCTGTATTAAAGCTCATGAGCATCACAGGTAGGGTGGGAGAGCAGGGAGTGAGGAGATAGGGAAGAGGTTGCAAATTCCCAAAACAACCAATACAATCTAATTAGTGCATATGTAGTGCTCGCAGGAACTCTGCTTCATACATACACTCCCCATACTCCCCGTGACTAAGTCATCAGTGGCAGCACTAAGGAAAAAGAGACAGCTCACCTGAGCTATGCTGTACTCATATATGCCAACAAATATTTCATTGGTTTTAATAAAAATTGCTGGCTTCTGGATTTTTCAAGAATTCTTTGCCTCCCATTTCCCCCAGTACTTAAAAATGAGGCAAAACATACAAAGGTGGCAAAAAAAGAACCTTAAAAAAAAAAAAAAAAGGCAGCAAAAAATACCTCTCTTTTTGTTACAAAATGCAATACAAAGAAGTAACAAAGGTTCTGAGGTTAGTGAAGAGGGGTTTGCCTGCAGGCAGCAGGGCGAGGGCTGCCTGATATCCCAGGCAGGCTGCATGCAGTGTGCCCTCTGCTGCAGGCACACAGTCCTGCTCCAGGGAAACTGCCCAGCACTCCCAAACACTGCTGTACCAGAGTCTTACTGAGTTCAGGCAGCAGAAACCTGCACAGGTGTGCAAATTGCAGTGAACGTTCTCACACAGGTGAGAGTCACTTTGCCTGGTGTTGGCTCTGCTCTTGCCTGTATCTACACCTGGCCAAGGTAAGAGAGCCAGGACCTGAAAGATGTTTCTTTTTAAAGCTCCAACAAGTCACACTGGCTCTGAATGGCAACAAATGCCCAGGAACCCTATCTGTGGTAGCTGGGAATAGGTGTCCCACAGACTGTGCCCACATAAGAGCAGGGTGATGCACTTTGCTCTGCAGGGGGTAGAACTGACATGGTAAGCGGAGGAACAAAAGGAACTTGCCAAAGGGAGTGAGAACACTTAGAAATCATCCAAAGGGCTTTATCCACCACAGACATCTCCACTGCCTTCACTGGCCAGCAGATTGCATTTGAAAGCAAATTAGAGCTTACCACAGTCAGTCTCTTTAGAGGCAGTACATTCCACCTCTCTTTGCAACATTCTTCTCTTGCTACTAGTGCAGGAATCAAGACAACTCTCCTTTCTCACTCCTACAAGTACACCTCACCCGGCTTGAAAAATTCCCCTGCTGCCACGCCAACACTTCCATGAAAGGGAGTTCACATTCCTGGTTGTCCTCCCTGCATCTGCCCTGAATGCCAGCCTAGAGCCAGGCCAGCTGGAACCTCTCCCCCTGAAAATCAACACATACTCCCAGGCTCCCAGGGCTGGCACAAGTCACTCAATGAGGAGCTGAGATTCAAGAACCTCTTTGCAGGGGTGGGGGGAAGAGGGGGTAAGGGACAGACAGACACAAAACTTTCTGAAGTGACTCCAGATCTCATTGTTTTCATTCATGTTTCTCAAGCAATGTGGTGTGACACAGCACAGGGACAGAGACAGGGCCAGCAACCACTTCTCCCCTTCTCACATCACCCTTACTGCCAGACTTCTCCACCTGTTAAGCCTTTTCAGTGGGTTTACGCCAGCAGCAGCTAGAAGGATCTCTGCAAGAAATACTTGGGGAGGAAGATGGGAGAAGATGGTAGTCTGATTTGATGGATAGCATGTGTGCCAAGTCACGCAGCCACAAAAGAGCTCTGTCTCAGACCTATCCAAGCAATCTCCCTGCTTGGGCTCAAGAATCATCCCTGTTCCACAGTCCACCTGGTTTTCCACCAGTCCATAAGCCAAGGAGCCTGGAGCTCAATTCTTAAATGCCACTACCAGAATTGCAGGCATTGAGGGTGGGTTGAAGCTGGAAGAAACTGTGAGCCTAAACCCACGTCGCTGGTTGGCACTGGGAGGAACAAGGGAGCAATGGAACCTTCTGCAGAGACCTGATAAGAGATAGGGAAGCGTGCTGCCTTTAAAACTTGCTTGGGCCCAGCAGTTGCAGGAGAGATGCAGCTCCAACCCAGGCCAGGGCTGGGCTGGCCTGCCCTGCCTCCCAGAGGAACCAGGCTTTTGGCCAATACCAGTTGCTGGTCACACAACTAGTTCACAAGGGTTGATGATAAATGCCAGCATGGTTCAGGCAGGCATATGTGGGTATTGAAGGAACTGTACAGTCTGCCTGTACAGGGTGGGGGGAAGAAAAGGCCTTGGCCACACAGACATGTTGACTGCCCTGCCTAAAAGGGAGGACTGGTGCACCAGGTGAGCTTCTGCAGAGGTGTAGAGGGAGATGGACAAGATGAACACACCTGGAGCCTGGCCCTCACCGTGGGGCCTTCACCTGCCAGAAAGAATCCAAGCCTAGTGCAACTCCTGCCCTCTCCCATGCCCCAGGGATACAGGCTCTGGCATGAGGTACCAGAGGACAGGATTTCTGCCTGAGGAGGAACTGGCACACTTGGGAGTTGATCCACTCATTTCAACAGAGCTGCCTGACTCGGTGAGAGGCAGCCTTTGTGACTCCCTTCCCATGAACAGTCCCAAACCTTCTGATGGCATTTAGGTTTGCTCCCCCATTGCTGCAGTTAAAAGCAGCAGGTGGGCTACCTCCCTGAGGAAATTAGCTAATGGTATCTCAGCTTCATGCTGAGCCAACACTACCTGATGCCAAGAGGCAGCTCGAGCCACAGAAAAGCTGCACCCCTCTGTGCTCCCAAAACCAGCCAGCACCAAGGTGGGAGAACCAGACACAGGACACAGCTTGACTGACAGGCTACTCCAGTGGGCACAGACTGACACCATGAACACAACACAGACACCCATCTAACCGTTTGACCGGCTTGTCGTCCAGCAGGTAACTGCCTAGCACTGACCCTTTCTTCAACAGGGGCTTTGTGTTCTGAGGCACCTGGAAGTTGAAAAGAGAAGGAATGGAGAATGATTACAACCCAGGAACCTGATCAACCACTCACCACCTCTGCAGAGCACTTCGGGGAGGCAAGGCCAGAGCCCTTGCAGCCCCACATGGTGCAGTGGTAGTGCCCCACTGGAAGGTTCAAACAGAGATGAGCACTGGCCGTGATCTCCTTAGTTCAGATAATTTAATTTGTGCAAGAAGCCATCACTATTGCTGCTTTCTCCTTCACAATATAATTCATCAAAATTAGTAAGCTTCCAAACTGAATTCTTTCTCTAGCCAGAGTTTTTATTTCTGCAGTTTGCTCTCCACTTGGTCTCACAGTTGAATCTCTCTTTCCCCACCTGCCTCTTTATTATGCTGATGTTTTGTGGTACAGACCAATTACCCCCTCCTCAGAAGACACTGATACCCCTCCTCCCCCAGTGCTCACCCAAAGCTGCACATGAACCCCAGGAAAGGAAGGAGACCACGCTGCAAAGGGCAATGCATGTGCTTTGCCTTACATTAATATTCCTCTCCATGCTTTCCCCCCCCTTACCTCGGACTGTACACTTCCTACAGCCAGTATTCACTAGCTCCCCAGAGAAGGAGAAAGTAGGACCACTTCTCTCACAACCCTCTCCCCCTGTACAGCAGCTCTGCATTCCCAGCAGAGTCAAAGATGAGGAGGTTGCCTGCAATCACACAGGAAAGCCTGTGGCAGAGAGGATTGACCTGCAACTCTTCCAAATGCCATGCTAAAGCTAGTTCCCCCCTCACCCCAAACTGGCTCACTGCTCTGGCCACACACACAAAACACTAAGTGAGACAGCGTAGCAAGGTGCCCGTTCCGTTGGCACTGGGAGAAAGGGAGATGTATCCAGTCTGCAAGTCTGGAGATTTCTAACGTGTCCTCACAAGTTATTTCTGGGGGTAAAGGTGTGGAAAGAAGGGTTTTCAGCCTGCCAGATCTGCCTCTCACTGCAGTTTTGAACTGACCAAACACCTGCAGGCAGCTCTGGACAGGCCTTCCTTTGTGCTGCCCACAGCCCAGGGGGAGGACTACGAAGATTATTTCTTCAATAACCCTTACCCAAGGCTTATTTAAAAAGGCAAGAAAATAAAGAAGCTGTTCTGTTGGCCAGAACTCCCAGAACACCTTCACTGCAATGCATTCAAACAAAAGCAGACACTCTGGACTCCACAGAGGGCCTCACCCAACTTAGGAACTTCAGGGGGAAAGGAGGGGAACAAAATATTTTTTACACATAAAACTGGTGTTCAAGAGAAGCTCCAGCCACTGAAACAATCCAGCACTGAGAGGCTCACAACCGTGGAGCACAAATCTTCCAAGGCAAAGGACCCCCAGGTGCATAGCAACACTTCAGTCATCACAGCTAGACTGTGTTTCAGACAACCAACAGTTCTCCAGCAGGGATGGAGGAGCAAGTTTTCAGTGTTTGAGCAGGTTCACTCAAGGGCACCTCTAGCTACATAGAAAGAAGGACACCATGTTACAGGCCAGTGGAGCACCCACAACCTTCAAGTCACCTGTGGAGCAAAAGGACTCCCACACAATCTGCTATGGCACAATCCTACCTGGAGAGGAAACAGCTCGCAGAACACATACTTGGGTAAGAAAGGACAAACAATGGATCGTGTTTTGCCATTGGTTCTGCCATGCTTTATTGGCCTGCCAGGTTTGTGCAACATTTGGCTTTTCACCAGGATGGTAAAGGGACAGACAACATCACAGCTGTATAACACACGATGGCAAGGATTCCACAACAGCACACGTACAAGCATTTTGGATGGGAAAGATTCTGGTTTATCAGTGAAATACAAATATGTGTGAAATGTAGGTGAAGTACCAAAACACTCTTCATGATGAGCAGACAAGAAATTTGCTCTGTCAACATACAGCATGCAAGCATAACTCCACAGCCAGATGGGTCATGGGTGTGAAACTAAACCTGCAATCCCCAGGTCTTAAGAATTCCCATCAGTGGTTTGCACATAGGCAGAAACAGCCACACATCACTGTTTATGACCCAGCCACTGGGACAAGAGAGCGCCCCACAGTGACATGGGGCCAGGGCCTGCCCACCCTGGCAAGGCCAGAAACTCTTATGAAGAGCAAAGTATCAAGCTGGGCACTGAGAAGAGCAAAGGAGCAGTGACTCGGTTGCTGTCACCCATGAACAGCCCGACCCCTCCTTCCAACCACTTCAAAATTTTTGCTATGAAAGAACCTCTTCTCATCACACCTTCATTTCATGGAAATAACATAGCTCTTCCCAGCACTAACAGAGGATATTAAGGCCTTGGGCTTCTTTTTAGCCTGTAAAAGCAATGATAGTCTCTGGCAGAGAGTGTGTTGCACACTAGGGATCCCCATCAGAAGGCTGGACTCTCCTTTTTGCTGCTGTAGGGAGTATTGATATTTTCTGTCACCCTTACATTGTGACAGGCTGGACAGCAGATCTTCTGCAGGTGTGTGATGATAGCAGCAGCACCTCTGCAATCCCTCGGAACCCTGCTTTCCTGCCGACTGAAATGAGAGTGGCCAGAGGAAGAAAACCTTACTCCAGTACAGGCTTCAACTGCCCAGCACAACACAGACTTGCCAGGTAAGCAACAGTGGTAGGAGGAGTTCACCCAGCATGCTGCCTCATTCCCTACTGCCAGTGGCGGCAGAAGGGAGAGAGTGGCTCCTCTGTGCTATGTCTCTCTCTGCTAGGCTCTCTCTTGGCTCTGCCCGCAATTGCCATGTTTCAGAGCAACCCCGAGCAGGTCCTAGCAAGGGAAATGGGAGAAGAGAATAGAGGAGAAGCAGACAAGCTTTGCACACCCAGAGGTACATACCTGAGCCATGGTCTCCACAGGCCACCCACCCCACCCACAGGAACCCAGAAGCACAACATATGGAAAGAGGAGAAGAAACCATTTTCTTTGCCTGCTTGCCCTGGACTCTGCTACAGAGTGACTGGGTTTATTGCTTCTCTAAGAGGGAGTAGGAAGCTCTGGTGCACATACACGTAGTTAGCAGCTTTAAAAATGGAGATTAAAAAACCTTTCAGCTTTCAGAAATACACACACACATGCAAAGGCATGTGCACACACACCTCATCTCCATCCAAAAGAGTTACTGACGTTATTTTATACCGCTCTCCACCTGGAGAAGAATTTGAGCCTCTCTCCCAGCAGGGCATTCCACCCCCTTTCTGGGTACAATCCCTGTGTTTCCTTCCACATTCATTCCTTACACATCAGACAGAAAGGCTCTCACAGCCTACCACTGCCTGTCCTCACTGCAAGGCATCTACGTCCAGATCTTCAAGTGGGGCATGGTGGCAGAGCAGGCAAAGACACATGGTGGCAGGGATGGGTCCAAGGGGACAGAGCAGCCTTGCCAGGGACACTGGGGAACACAAAGACATTTTCATGAAAAAACAGTAAGAATTAAAAATAGACCCCATATTTGTGCTCATCAGGGAAGGGCCAGAGATTGACTGTTCCAGATGTCAGAGGCTCTGCTTTACCCCAGCCTTCTGACACAAGGCTCACTGCTGCACCTCCACCCTGCAGAGTTCACAGGAAGGGGGAGCTGCCCCTAGAGGAACACCTGAAAACATCTGCTACAAACTCAAGGGGTCAGAAAAACTCCAAAACCTTCCCGTGTGCCCCTCCACACCCAGTCAACCAGCAGCACATCTGGGAATCCATCTTCTTCCTCACCACCCAGCTCCAGGGACATATCCAGCTTTACTCCCCTCCTTGCATGTGCCCAGTGCCTGGCACAACACACAGACCCCACGTGTGCAGCAGGCAGCACCCGCTGCAGCCCTGCACGGGGCTGCGTGACAGTCACAAGCCAACGTGCCTGGGGTTAAACCCAGGTACTTGGCAACAGCAACCAGCAGAGCTTGTCTCCAGCACGGACACAGAGGTGCTGAGAAGTCTGTATTAGGCACCACACCAGGCCCTGTGAGCTCAGGTCATTGTCCCCCGTGGAAGTGACGGGCCCCCGAGTGATGACAGCAACAGCAGCAGATGAAAGGAGGGTGGTTGGGAATTAAGATTTTCTTTCTTAGACTAACCAGCTTCTTGGCTTCAAAAGCGTCTCGCTCATCTCGAAGTTTCTTGTTCATCTCTCTGCTCCAAAGGAAGACACAGGAAAGACACAATGAGGTGCTTGTCCAAAATAGGGTAAAGGCAACATTTGAAAGTGAGGACAGAAAGGCAGCTTGAGACAGAGATAAAGATGCTATTTAAGGCCAGACATGTTGGGATTTCCATGTATCCCAGCTAAGGTAATGGGCTCCACATGTTTTTTTTAACCAGCAGGAAAGACTGAATTCCTCCAGAGGAGGGATTACCTCGTGAAATAACAGAGTCTGTAATCTGCCAGAGCTGGTCAGATTGCACAACTCTGTCTGGACCTAGAAAAACAAGCAGAGTCTGAGAACTGCTTAAATACAATCCCATAGCTTTCCATGGGAGAAATGAGAACAGTGCTGAAACCTCAGCCCCTTAAGAGCTCAGCATTTCCCTCCAGCCTTGCTCTTACCTGAGGAGCTCCAGCTGCCGAAGGAGGCTTTGTTTCTCTTTCTGCATGTTCTTGGAGACTCTGAACACATCCCTAGGTGAAAGGGATTTTAAAAGGGAAAATAAATTAATGGGAAAGAAAATTCAAAGATCCCTTTCTCAGAGGCACTCAAGGTATTCTCAAAGATAAAGGCCTGCCTTATGCTAGGAGGATTCAGAGGAAGCAGCACTGCTGTGGGAGCTGGGATGGCTGGGTTGTACCACAGCTCTCCTGCTCTCCTCCAACCTGAGGGCAGGCAACCCATCTTCTCCGTTTCCTCAGCTGCTAGAGATGGGGAGGATGGTCACTGCCATCTGGATTTGAAACATCCCAATGTTTTATCTATGTATTATTAAATTTAACCCAGAAAGGGGAACACAAGTGATTAGAAGAGGATCTTTAAAGATAGCACTATAGAGGTGATGGTGAACTGGAAAATACACGGAGAAGACTCCTTTAGGCTTTTTTTTTGTGCTTTTGCACTGATTTTTTAGCCAAATATCAGTGAGCATATTCATTTCCCTCTAAAGGAAGGCATGAGATAGCAATATCACTTCCTATTTAGTCCCATAAGACCATTGGGATGTTTCTTCTTTTTCTCAAGAATAGACAGGCAATCCTCTAATAAAACCATTTTTCTTTAACTGCTTGCCCAGCCTTCCTTCTCTGCCTGTGTCCCTGCCCTGACACCTCCTTTCCTGCCCTTCCCCACCTGTCCTTCTGCTCTTGCTCAAGCTGAGCCTCTTTCTGAAGCTTCTGCAATTGCCCCTTCACCGCCTCCAGCTCCCATTTGCTTTTCTCCAGCTCTTCCAGCAGGTTTTCATTCAGGTGCCGGAGCCTTTCATTCTGCACCCGGGTCTCCAGCTGCTCCGAGTTCAGTGACTGCAGCTGATGTTCCAGCTGCAATGTGAGAGGAGTAGGAAGGATTAAACACAGAGAAGAAGGATCTTGTGCTACAATCATGCCTCTAAGAACAACCTGAAAAGCAGATGTAAACAAGGCAGAAGGGGATAAACACAACTTTAGGTCTGCAGGACCACTAGTGGCATAGAGAAGGTGAACTGGAAAGAATTCTTTCTCATTATGCTAGCACTGGGGAGCAAACAATACAATTAGGCACAGTTGAGGAAGTGCTTCAGACAGCGTGAGGAGCCTGCTGCTGTCAGGAGTTGTAGAAATCAGAGCACAAATAAGGGTCAAAGGAGGACTGGAAAAATTCGGGCGGAAGCAGGAATGTGTCTCTCAGGACCTATTAAACACAGTCGTTGAAACGCATCTTCTACTTCAGGGACTTCCTGAGCCCACGGCAGCTGAAAAGGGGATACATCGAGGTGCAGAGGGCATCTCACACTACACCTATAAAGTCAAGAGATCAGGTGGCCTTTACTTACTGCTGGAGACAGACATACTGTTTAAATGTCACTGGGACACAGCTGCACTCGAGACAGCACAAGCCCCCAGCACAACTAACAAGCCTGATTTGGGAAGCTGAAAGCCTGCTGTCACATACTCAAGCATACTCAGTGACTCAATTCCTCATGCATAGCTGGCATAGTCTGGGAAGGAGTCACAGACAGACGCAGCAGTCAAACCTGCCCATCTCAGATGACAAGTAGATCATCACGCAGTAGATCCTTGCAAGAACGATCATACAGACACTTCAGTATCTGGCCAGCCAGGCCAGATAACCAGGGCCCTCTGCTGAAGCTCTGCACAGAAACTGCGGCACCATCTCAGAGCTTACAGCCCAAAATAAAAGTATTCAGTCCATGCTTACAAACAGAGGGAAGCACCAGGAATCAGGTCTGATCAGGGTAGCAGGTGGCAGAGTCAGCCTCCACATTTACACCTTCAGCCTGCCTTTCCTCTCAGCCTAGTCTCTCCCCCTCTCAAAGGAAAAATAAAGCAGCACAGCGTGGCACAAGGTAAAGTGCCTTTTTCCTTGCTACCCTGCTTTCTGCCAGCACATGTGTACAACAGTCATGAGCAGGAATGAACAGAGCTGACCTTTCGTAGGTTCATTGAAACACAAACCCTACATCTCTTCCCACTGAGGCTACAAGGGTAAGTCACACCCAGTTTTGCCTGGAGACCTCTAGTCCTTTGGACACTGGGGGAAAATTTTGGCATGACCATATATGCTGAGCAGTGGAGTGTAGACTAAGAAACCCCTGCTTACAGGGGACAGACCTTAAGTAAAGCACCCCTGCCCCTCCCTAAGAAATCTCCATCACATAAAACTCTGCTGTTTATGTTGCCTGTACTTGGAAGTGATACTGTAGAATAGCACATCACAATACTGGTCTTGCACCACAAGAGGGAGTCGATTATCTACATAGCTCAGAGTTAAGGGCATCAGAAACGACAATTTGAGTAACAGTGTCTATGCAACGCAAGCATTTCTACCTTGACCCATAGCAAGAGGAGATGCTACCTAGGAAGAGCATGCCTGGGCTCCTAACTATGGTTCAATTCCCTTCATACCCCCCCAGCATCCATGGACTCTGCACTAGGGATGTTAGAGGCCACATCTCTGACCACTCCTCCTTTTACTAAACATTTACAAGCCTATTGTACAATTGTTTGTCCAATAAGTGTTTGAACTGCCCATCCTCCCTGCCTCCTGCGGCCAAAAGTCCAGCACTAATCTCTGTGTGAAGAAGTATGGTCTTCTAAATCAAATTCATACTGGTCTCACTGAGTGTCCCTCATCTCTTCTGTTGCAGGACGTGGGGAATAAGTTTTATGTGGACCTTATCTGTCACCTTCCCGAGTTCATAAAGCTCAGTCCTCTTCTCTCCAAAATCAAATCTAAGCTTTCCTGGTTTCCCTTCCTAAGGCAGATGCTCCATTTCCCTAGTAATGTTAGTTCTCTGTATCTTCGCTACCCAAGAATGACACAGTGTAATTAGAGAATACAAGAACTGCACCACCAAATGAGGCATTCAAAGATGTGGGCAGCAGGAAAAATACATTCACGTTATCTTATTCTTGATATCCTTCCTGATGGCACCTCAGTTTTGCTGGCTTTTCCAGCTGCTGTACAGTGAGCTGATGTTTTCAGAGAAGTGCTGTTTCATCCACGTCACAGCTAGGTATCCAACTTGGATGCCCTCACTCACCAGCATCCTACAGGTGCCTGCCATGATTTGTTTCTGTGGGGTCCATGCAGCAATTCTTCAGACACCAAGGAGGAAGACATTCAGAATGTCTTACACCACAAGAGGGATACAAATGTCCATGCCACTGATGGCAGGCTAAAGGAAAGTCTGTGCTTTGATCTTTTATGAGATTGATTAATCAGTACATCAAGTGCCCAAATGCAAACCCACAATATGTACCTCTTTAAGTGTCACAGAACTGTTCACTACAGGTCATTTTGGAGCAGCCAGAAAACAAAAACTAGAGAAATCTGTCTCTTTTATGTCCATCTACATCTTCCTTATACACCACAAAAGACAGTAAACTCACAACTTTCAAGTCTTTACTCTGTCTTTCTTGCCACTATTGTACAAGTGATAGGAAGATTGTGCCAAGAGAATACGAAGCAGATAAGAATGCATGGACAAAACATTCACAGAAAGGCATTACAGTTGAAGACAAACCAATTATTTGACAAACCATTTCAACAACTTTAGAAACAGGAGAGAACTACACCAGCTAATGCCAGATTGGCTAATACTAACCCTGAGGAGATAAACACCGTTTTGGGTCAGAGAAAGCCTTAGCAGAAAGACAGCAGAAGGGGATGTGCTTGTTTAAGGAGGGTTTGGGTCCTGTTACCTTCTTCTGGCGGTAGAGGATTTTCTCCAGCTCCTGTTCTTTGTTGTGCAGTTCCTTTTGGAGCAGGTTACTCCTGTCATGTCTCAGTGCTTCCTGCAAAGGTAAAGATACAAAGCTGTGATACAACACCCAGCACAGTAAGAGCTGTTCAGTGGCCAGATGAGGCACCACCTCTGCTTCACACCAAAGGAAGTCTGCCTTCAGCCAAGAGATAGATGAGGTACCTGGCAGACCAGCCTCTCCCTTTCTGCTTTGATCTGTTGTTCCATTTCTTCATAAAGGCACCTGACTTCTCGGTCATGGTCTGACTCCTTCCTACAAAAGGCAGGTGCACACAGGTCAGGAGAGAAAAAGAATACAGAAAGGAAAGAGGAGGGTGGATATGGATTCCTATTAACAGCTGGGTGGCTTGAGCATGGATTCCTACTAACAGCTGGGTGGCTTGAGCAGGATTTTAACCATTTACCATTATTACGGGTGGGCAGTGATGCCAAACATACTCATGGGGATCAGATCAAGATACAGGGTCATTTTATCACAGCAAGAAAAATCTCTACATCCTGTAACCCAGTCTCTCCTTGCATTTGAGGCAGGACCCCAGCATCAGCTGGTTCTGGACAGCAAATGGCCATGATGTTCTCCTCACCGCTTCAGTGCCTGTTCCATGGACTCCTTCTCATGATTCACCTCCCTTATGTACGATGAAACTCGCAACAGAAATTCTTCAAAATTGGATAAGAGCTCCGGACGCTCCTTCCGTAGCCGAGCCCAGAGCTCCCGAATCTCATGTGGACTGCACCAACCATACAAGAGAGAAGGAAAGCAAATGAGTTTCTGTGTCATCTTATGGACTGTTATTCCAACTCCAGCATGCACTCAGGACAAACTGCTGTTCTCCTGTGATGCCCCTCATTACACCATCAGAGCAAAGAGGGAAGCTGGACAGTGACAGAGCATGCATGTGGAGTGGCATCTGTTGTGAGGTTAAAATAAAAGGAGTCATCTATGAAGTTCATCCTGGAGTTATTATTTTTCCCAAGTACTCAGCAATAAGACATTTCGTGTGTAAATCAAGACTTGAAGAGATGAATATTCAGCAAATTTCCTGTGAGTTATGGTCAAGCAGCAAACCGTTATAGCCCAGGGATTTTAGCACACATCACAGGTGTTTTTCTTACACCAGGATTGTACGGGTCCTGCTGCTGTCCTTTTTTTTTTTAATGGGTTTGGAAACTGAGGCACAAAAAAAGATGCAAATTTGCTCAGGTGCCCCATCAGAATAACAATGGAGAAAAGCCCTAGAAAAAGTCTTGTTTTTCTAAACCTGCAGTAATGATTACACTGTTTTGACATTTAATTCAATGCAACTTTAACACAGCACTTACACTCTTTCTCCAAGAGTCTTATAAGCCTGCAGACATAATTTCGTGCTTCTTTTTAGTCAAGAGATGTTTTGGGTTTTTTTAAATCTATTAAATACTTTGGGAGAACTGCTTTGAAATATACAGAATAATTATACCTATAGACATTATCCAAGTAGATTTTTTTTTGTATATGTATTTGCCTCCCTTAATATTCTTTGTGGAAAAAAGCAAACAAAATAAACAACCAAAAAGCTCTGAGATTTCCTCCGCCACAATTACATGACAGCCCCCTTTTTCTTTCCCAAGCTGAAGAAGTTGTTGCACTTCATCGAAACTTCATGTTTTAGATAATATTGAGCCCTGTTAGTAAATAAAACCATTTATTTCTTGAGAAAACAGTGAAAATCATTCAGATTCCTGCTTTGACCTCAATTAGCTTCTGTTTTATATTACTTCTTTACAACAGCTGGTTTGCTACAAAGGCGTGACATGAAGTAGCTACTGAACTCATTGCATAAAACTGCAAGTAAGAGGTCAAAATAAAACACAGGATGATTCCACTTTAAGACCTGATGCTTCTCAAAGCAGAGTTATAAACAGTAGAGACTGTTTTTCCCAAAATGTTTTCCTTTCACAGTGTCATCCAATTATTTGAGGTGTAACAGCTTTCCAGAATTTTTCAGGATGGGAAAAGTTCTTTAGCATTAAAAACACGCAGGTGCTTTGCATCACAATGCAAAGGAGACAAAAAAAGTCTGTTTCACAACAGATGCAACTCTGAAAGCAGCAAAATCCTTCACTTTCAGCTTCAATCTCCAAGCCTGACTCTCTCCTTCCCTAACCTGGGCTGCTCCCTGCAAACTGGCAACACTGTTGGACTACAATGCCAGAAAAAAACGACTGCCACAGATGCAATTGGCACCCCAGCCCCTGCAGTTGTGCATCAGTAAGAACCAGTTATGCACAGTGCTTCACTTTAGAAAACGTAAAGACAGGCTGCATGACAATGGGGCCAGGAAACTCTACTGGGACCACATGCCCACCGCATTAATACCAAGTTTCAAGGCTCAGGTAAGCATCCCTTGCCCAGTTTAGCCTTTCACAATCTTCAAGATCAGCCCAGTCCCAAGCAACAACTTGAGCACAGATTTTTCATGGAGATTCTTAGAACTGATTGTCTGAAAATACATAAACAGTCACATATCACTTTGGAACAGACAGCACACTCTTCCTCCTTATCTTGTCTAACCCTCACATGCTTCTTTTCATTTGCTGCCTATGCTGAACTTCCATGCCACTAAGTGTTGTATTTTACAGCTGTGGTATGAACTGGACTTTGGGAAACTCTTTGTGAAAAGCACTGAGCTAAAAGTAATTGGTAACTGATGAGAAAACCCTCACTACACTTGGTACCAAGCATATGAAAACTCAAGCAGTGCTTCCAAGAGCAAGCAGCCCAGTTCACCTCTTTGGTCTGTTCTGGTACTTTGAAGTTTTGGTGCTGCAAGATCAAAACAGGGTGAAAGTAATGCCATGCAACTCCCCTACTTACTCTTCAAACAACTGGGCTGCTCCGAGCTGCTCCATCATGGAACAGAATCGTTTCTCTTCATCATCATCTGCTGGGTCCAAGTCATCTGACCAGCCTGACTCAAAGGTCTCCTCGTGTCTGGAGTGATCCATTCTCCCAGCCCCTTGACACAATTCAATCCCTATTAACTTCCCTGGTGGAAGGAGAAGGAGAGAAGGGGAATGAAAAAAGTCAAATTGGGTGTCATTTAATAAGCTGCTACTTACGTGGCAGCCTGACAGAGCTGCAGGAGCAGCTGCCCGCACTCTGCTGGGGCAGAATACAGCTCCTGGTCAGTAAAGAGCCTCCGTTCTGACGTCCTGAGTGATGTCAGTGTCCAGTCTGCAATGCTGGGACTGAAGGTGGCTCCCAGCCCAACAACAGGCTCACATCTGTACAGAGATGATCTACCACCCACGGCCTGGGATTCTCAGCACGGAAAGCACGCGGCATGAGGTCACTTCACTCCCACGGAGCAGCACTGTGAGTTCCAACTGCCAATGATCCCACCAGTTCCCTGGGGACTGCACACCCGGCCCTGAGTAGTACCATGCCTCAGTTCCTCAGCTGAAAAATGAGGAGGAGCTCGTTATCCCTCCCTTCTCTTGTGCCACACATCTGTTCTGGTTCAAGCGCTACAGGACAAGGAGAGCCTCTTGCTAGGATTGTGTGGAGTGTCTGAACAGAATGAACTTATCCTCTGAGCACCTCCTCCTGCCCCATCCCACGTACGGAAGGCTTCCAGCTCTCTGGATTCTGTTTCATGCTGTGACACTAATTCCACGAGAACCTCATGCTATGCAAGGCATGTGACAAACACTGGTGCTGGGAGCAGCTTCTTCTCAAGAAACAAATCAAGCTATCCTATCCAAAACACAGGCCCCCATCCTGTATACAGAGGTCAGACTTCCATCAGCAGTTACTCTTCTTTCCAAAATATATCTGCTTGGCTCAAAAGGCAGAAATGACAGCCCAACTGCAAGACCAGGAGTCAAGGATGTTCAGAGCACAGATGAGAACATGAAGCTGCTCTAAGGGGAAAAATATCCATCATTATTTTACCTCAAGGGACTTAACTCTACCACTTCCTAGCTCCATGCATCCAGAATCAAGCTGCTTCTTTCCAGCTCTTAAAATGTGCTGTAAAGAAACTTGCAGTGTGGAGATACAGGCCCTACTCAGCTTAAAGCCTGATGCTGAGACAGTTAATTGAGGAGAAGGGGTTAGATTAGGCACTTTTGATGTCTGCTTTAAAGAAAGAGTCATTATCTCTTGTTATCTCTCTTTTACAGATGGGAAAATTGAGGTAGAGATAGGAAAATTGAGCTAGAGAATGATCTGAAGATTGTTTTGTCATCCTAGAAGGAGCAAGGAGCCCTCTCAAGAAGTAGACTTGATTGCAGCTCGAATGGCTTTCCTTGATTCCTCCCTGTACACTCCATAAGGAATACAGCAATATACCAGGCCCAACTCTTGAGAGTTAGGGGCAAAGTCTGAAAAGGATTTCAATTATTCCAGACACAAAGAATGATTGCAAAGAAGAGAAATGCAGAGATTAAGTGTTTTGCCTAGAGTGGAGTAAGTGCCACAGAGCCAGGCTGCCAACACAGGGTGGTCCCTGACACAATGGGAAAACCTGCCTACCTCTACCAGCAGTGGCACTGAGGCAGGTGCCCTCATGATGCCCATCCGTGGCCGGGACAAATGCCTCAAACAACTCTATCTGGGAATAACCAAGTCATAACACAGAGGGCACCTTGGATGCCAAGGTGCCCAAACGTTGCCTGCTCACCTTCTACATAGTGCAAGACAGGAAAGCCCACCCTCCTGAGATTACTCTTGTTCCTAGCAAAGGCAGCAGAACCAGCCAACAGGGGCACAGGCAGGACACAGGCATAGTCAGCAGGCGCTCCTCAGTGGGTTAAAACAGTCCCTGAACAGACTGTCCCAAGACACAGCATTCTGGGTTTATTCAGGGGAAATGTTTGCAACTTCTCCACTCACAGTGGCTGTTTCTGACCATTCCAATTCAAGCATCAAAATCCCTCCCTCCCAAGTTGTGAGAAAGCCAGGAGCAGCCACAATCTGAGCAACCAGGACAGCGAAATCACTCCTGAAAACCCTAGACCATCTGTGTTCACTTGCTTTGACCTGGTACACTTAACACCTCCACATGTCCAAGGAAGGTGCTAACAGGTGCAGATTTTCTGGGAGCTTAAAACCAGCTAAGGCAACTAAGCACCTGTGCTGCTGGGTGGGGACTCTGGTATAGGAGCAGCATTCTCCTAGTGTTTGGAAAAGACAACAGTAAGAAGAAAACAAAAGTTCATTTGCCAGTGTTCTAGCCTACTAACAGGACTCCTACTCATGCTCTTGAACAGCACTGCTACCAGCTGGAGACAGTTGCCAAGGGGCATATTTCTGTTCCTTTATCCAATGAGGGTCCTTATCCAGATGAATAACTGAGGATCAGATAGCCAGACACAGGCTGCAATATGTACCATCTCCAGCAGGAGATGTTCAGAAGCTGGCTCTACCAGGTAGGCAGGTAACAGTTATGGAAGAAGGCAACACAAAGCCTTGGGAAGGGGGATAGCTGTATAGCACACCCACCTTCTCCAGTGATGCTCACTCGAGCATGGAGCATTGTCCTGCATAGCTGGTGCAGCTTCAGCAGAACCACTGCACTTTCTTTCTTACCAACATAAAACACCATGTCACATGTGGGCTTTTTCCTTCCTCTGCCTCTGTGTAGTCCTTACCTAGTCCCATGCTGAACTCCACAGGCGTCAGGTATCCCTTATTGTTCTGTTCCAAGCTGTCAAAAACAGTCTCCAGCTGCTGAAGGGTTAGAGGCAGTTCACTCTGGAGCCGCTGCAAAGACAAGAGAATGAACCAGCTGCAGGAATGACTCAAGTCTTCCCTGTGACTGTCCCTGCCATCCTCAGCTCTGGCTCACAGCAACGTGCCCTTCCAGCACTGCATCCTGTCCAGGATGTGACAGTCTGCCAGTACAGCTGAGTGATGACACAAACACCTGTCCGGAGCCATGGATATGGCGACACTTTCCACTGCTGGATGATTCAACCAGAACTGCAGAGAGGGAATTTCAGGTTATTTTGCTGGGAGGGAGCTCAACCCTCCTCCTCCCCTACTTGAGAACCACTGCCTCTGGTTCGCTGTCCGCCTCCCTGCACCCCTGCCCAGAGGTGGCTGCCCCACCCCGGGGCACTGCCAGCCTCCCACGACCAGCACTGCTCCCAAGAGCGCTCTCTGCGCCACATCAGGTACCAGCTCCATCCCTCTGGCCAGAGAGAGAAGTCAGACTTGTGGGTATCTGGGTTCAGTTCCCAGGTCTTGCAGGAAATCTTGCAGATCATAGATTAAATGTTCAGTCCATAACAGCAAGTTAGTTTTCTTCTGTCATATTCTGTCTGATGGAACGATATTATTACTCCCACAGCACGGGCAAGGAGCAGAGTAATTTCCCTTCATAATACACGTGCACAGCACCTACTGTGGAGGAAGGGCACCCAAAGAAAGTTCCAAATAACAAAGAGGTGTAGGCTGAAGCCTCATAACTGTCTGTTAAATGTGCAGCTTTAGATAAAAGCTTAATAAAAATTATATTAATACAGCTACAAAAAAGTAAGCTTCACACAACCCCAAACAATGTGAGTCAATATTTTAAGCAGCATGAACCTGTCAAATGTTAATTATAGATGTAGGGAGAGATGGGACAGGAGAAAAACAATCCACATGTAACCTTCCTTATAAACCTTTAAAAAAAAACTCATTAAGAACTACAGAGACTGCTTTGAACAGAAAGGAGCAAAACACATTATTTTAGAGCAAAGGTAAAGTTCAGGCCTAAAGTGAGTTTTTGAGATGAAGCTTTAGCTATGACTGAGACAAAAAAGTTATACAACTTTTTTTGTTAAAAGGTTGGTGGATTGTTCATTGTGTGTTTTTTCTGGGGGGTTGTTGTTTGGTTTTCTTTAAATTAAACCAAGATTGTTTCCCCCATATTTCCCATCCACTGCATGCTTGATATTTGTAAGAGCTGTCACAATTTTTTTTTATTTTATGCATTCCTTAAAAATTTGGAACTGCAGTCCAATTTGTCTCAGGAATTCCCTGGAGGTGCAAGGTCCTCCTGGGATTTTTGGTTCCTCGCAGCTGGCTGTGGCAGTTTGGCTCCCAGATATATGAATGAGACAGAACCTATGGGCACACCCACACTCACCAAAAGTAAAGACATGCCACATTCTCCCCACTTCTGCCACTCATGACTTTACAGATCCTCCCAGGACAGGGGAAGGATTTTTTTTTCCTCTCACCTGCATGTCCACCTTGGTGATAAAACCCTTCTCATCCTTGTCACACAGCTGGAAGAGCTCCCTTGCCTTCTCAAGCATCTCCACCTCCACATCTTCCAGTCTGCTCATTTGGCTGGAAGGAGAAACACGAGAAGCCACCTGATCCTTCTCATCCCCTTCCTCTTCTCCTTCCCAGTGGACATATCCCAAGAGCACTCCCCTCTGGTTCTCCATCTTCTCAAAGTCTTTTCCCCCAGGGCATGGGCAAACAGAAGACCTGTGGGGCAGGAAACAGAGAAAACCCTGTCAAACATGACCCTCCACTTCCAACCCGCACATGATCTACTTACATCCTTTGTCAGCTGGAAGAGCAATATCGAGCATCCATATCTGGATTAGATAACCTTTAAAAGCCCCTTCCAATCCAAAATATTCCATGCTTATGTGAACTGAGCAGGGGGGGAAGGGGAGTTTGTGTCAGACACACACACCACACACAGGTACACACTGTACACAACATGGGTGTAACTAAGCCTTCCACACAGACCTAACCCGCCACCTGCGATGGGCTCCAGACCCTGCACGGAGCAGGGATACTCTTTTGCCATCTCTCCTCCTCTGGGTCAGATCTACAGGGCTCTTTGCTGGTGAAAGCCAGCTGCCAAAGGAAGATTTCAGCAGAGATGAAAGATTGGGAAGGGACTATTAAAGCACACAGGTAAATCTGTGTGGGAACACAGAGATCGTCCCACATCAACTGAGACAGGAGGCTCAAACACTGCAAGCTGCTTTTGTCTGGTCTTAGTTCCTTTGCTAACAACACGTACTTTTAATCCTCTTGTTGCTTTTCTGCACCACCTCTGAACACCAAACCTGCACATCAAAACTGCAAGAACCCAGAGCAGGACAAGAGCAGACAGGAAGGAGTAAGATCTGTGCAAGTGACAAAGGAAAGAGAAGAAGGAATGTTTCTCCCAGCCCTCTCCCACCCAGGCCCACCTCTGACATCTTCTTGTTAATGCTTTCCAAATAGTAACTCCAACTTTTTTTATGCTAATACAGCACAAAGAAAGGTCAGACAATTGCTACACTGAGAACTCTTGACCCATTGCCTTCAAGCCTCTGTTTTGGGAGCTCATAAGCTGCCAAATAGAATTTTAATCTGAAATGGTCACCTTTATAGGAAGGAAACCACACAACTATGGAGACATTTCAGAGGCCAAAGAAAATAATTCCCATTACTTACAAGTACCTAAAGCAAAAAGGGGAGGAATGAGAGCACCCATTTAAGCACAGCACTGTGATTGTAAAGATTTATACAATGCATCCCTACCCCAATCCACCTTCCAACTTACTGATGACACATTAACACTCTCCAGACAGCTTTTCTTCAGCAACACCACAACATTTTTAAAGCCTTTTTGCATGGATTGCTCTAGATTTCTCCTTCTGCAGATCTGTGTTCTGCATTGCAGGGCAGAAGTGAGCTGTGCAAGCAGGCTGAGAGCAGATTTAAACAGTGCTGGACAAAGAGGGCTTGAGAGTTGGCTTCGTTGTTGTTTTTTTTTTAATCTCAAAGAAATTAAAAGTCACATACAGATGCCATGATAACAAACAAATTCTGTTTGCACTCCTGGTACAATGGGAGGATAAAGAGCACCATGGCCAGGAAGAATGTCACATGTGAGAACGATATGAAGCTGACACAAAAGGAGAAGGCAATTATGTACCACGCTATTTGACTCTGTTTATTACTGCTGGTTCGTGAGCCAGCGGGTGGTTCTGCTTCAAAGGACAAGCAGAACGCTTCGCTCCCCCTTTCAAATCAGTGTTTTCCAGGACACCTCTGTTTAGTGTCACTTGAGAAGATTATTTATGAAACTTATGCAGAAGACTGCCTGTAAATGGGTACTACTGTATGTTTCTAATCAAGTCGACATCCCTGGCAAGCAATGAATTCACCCTTTGGGAAATACAGGAGAAGAAAAGAGGGAAGAAAGCAGGAGGAAAAGTAAGGAGGCAGATGGTGTCTTTCTCTCTTGCTCTTTTTCAAACCAACCTTCACACCAGGCATTTTTTTGTGTTATGGAGCCAGAAAAGCAAAATCTAGAGACTTAAGTTTGATTGTATCCATTAGCTGGACAAGTACCTTGCTTCTGATGGCAAGTCTGTATGTGTAAGTAGTAAAGAGGTCAGAAAAAACACCAGCTTACTTTTCACATTCAAGTGAAAGATGTAAAGCTGGCTTTGAAAGAAATTGGAAAAAAAAAAAAAAAGACCCAAGTATCTTATGTTGCCTAGATTTTACAGGTGATTATGGTGAGGAATAACAGCCACATTGATGAATGATAATTATTGGCTGCTACAGGCCACCTTCCTGAAGTTTACTGCCAGACACATTCCTTCTGCAAAGATACAGCCTCAGCACAAGCAGCACCCTGTACCAGACAGGGAACACAGGCAGCAGCAGAGGAGGAAAGAAAAAGGGAGTTCAAAGCAAGTGCCATGGAAGTATTGCTGAAAACAGGCAGAATAAGAAAAGGCACGAGTAAAAAATACATTTTCTGAAATATCACTCTAGATGCCTAAGAGACATCTGTCCTATTAGATTACTTTCCTATTATCAGCTCCATCATTTCTATTTCAAAAGCCAGAGCAGCCCACGCAGTTGATGTCTCCCCAGCTTTGCTGCAGCAAACAAAAGGTGGTACAAGGAGGATGTTCTGTTCTCTCTCCAAGACATTTTTTTGAAGCTGAAATCCAATCCATTACATCCCTACCTCTAGCATTTCCTCACTTTATCAAAAGCCCAGCTGTACTGTAGCTCCCAAACACTGGCTGAGCTAGAAGTCCCTTAATTAGAAGAGCTGGGAGCCTGACACGGACAAAAGTCTGAAAGGATTTTACTCATGTAAAAGACCAAGCCCATTAATTCGTTGTTCAGAGCAGGCAGTCTCTTGTCCAAGCCGCTTCAAGTGGCTTCAAGCCAGATGTGGCTCTTTCAATTGCGAGACAGCACTTGCTGAGGAACAAAGCAGCAACTAAGAGAGAGCCCCAGTAAGCAAAACACAAAATACATCGCAATTCTGATGGACTTCTTTCCCAGAAGCCTGTGACTGAGAAGCTCTTCCTCTCTATCCCTATTTATAAGGCACTGCATGATGTAAGTGCAGATGAGGCACAAAGCAGATCTCAGTCTAATAAGTGCTGTCACACCTTCTCCAGTTACAATCATCACTGCAAAGTACTGTGGAAGCAGCTTCATCAGCAAGATGCAGAGCATCACTGAAAGACTTCTTTGAAAGAGGCTGAGGTCACTAGAGTGCCAAAAATGTGGACTGGTATCCAAAAGTGAGGCAAGCAGAGCTGGCTCGGGTGCAGAAGAATCAGCTTGAGAAGAGCCATGCTTTCCTGGCACAAGCGGTGAAGGCAGAGAAGATAGGTACAGGTAGACAATGCTTTTGGTCAGGCGAACCTGCCAGGCTCTGCCAGCAAGATGATGTCAAACCACCTCCAGTTACGAAGCCAGCAATTGTTATACAAACTCCCTGACATAATTAATTTTCCCATGTCCCTTCTGGCAGGAAAATGCAGTTATTGAGTCAGCACCAGTTAAGAATTAATTTCCACACCTAGCCTGGAGTCAGGATAATCTCTGTATCTTGGGCTGTTGATTTCCATCACAAAATGTCCACAGTGGGTCATGGCAGAGTTTGTCCAGCCCATCATCTTGCCCTCAACAGTGGTTACGAATGATTGGTGAGGGAAGAATAACAGCAGGGCAAGCAAAGAGAAGACTTCCCTGAAGACACCTGTCAGCTACTAGCCACTGTCAGCCTGGGGCAATTCCTGAGCCACTTGTTCCTTCCTTGGAGCCCCTGGTGGTCTAGTGGTAAAGGCGCCGCGCTATCACCGCGGAGACCCGGGTTCGATTCCCGGTCCGGGCCACTCCCGGGCAGGTGGGGCTCGTTAGCCCTTAAAGGCAACCCACCTACGTCCTAAGGACCTCGCTGCCACCGTCCAAGCTCGCTTGGCCCCGGCAGATGAACCTTAGGATTAAAGGGTGGGCTCAGTTCCGCGCACACTGTGTCTCACCTAAAAAATCCAATGCACAGGCTGGAAGGTGTAAAGACCTTCCCCGGATCTTCGCTCGCGAAGACTGGCCATTATATTATATTATGTTCCTTCCTTATCTTCCAAGACACTTGCCCAGCCTCCCTTTGAAACTGTATGGAAACATTCACTGTTCACATGAACATGCTGACAGAAATGGTGTGCCTGCTGCAGTCAGTGGGTGCTGACAAGGCTTCATGGGACTATTACAGTTTTCTGGCTACACAGTTTGACCAGCACCAACGCCACAAGAGATGGCGAGTCCCAGCTTCAGCTCAAACAAGACTTCACTGCCACCTTCACATCTGGGAACTGTGTTAGAGACCAAAAACTCCTCTCCCAGGGCCTGGAAGATGGAAGCCCCAGGGACACTGGGGGCACCAATGGGCTCCAACTGCCCTGGTCAGCCCCATTGTGTAATGTTCTTCTGCAGCCCCATCTTCCCCCACCCCACAGGTTTGTCTGCCTGTTCTCAAGGTCAGCTCTGACACTGCACAATCCAGATTTGGGCAGTGTCCAGCACCTGAAAACCTGATACACAGCTCGAGAGAAAGCCAGGCTTCAGGTCCCACAGATTACACTGGGTACCTCCTACCAATGTGTGTGCAAGGGCTGAGCAAGCAAAAATTCACCTGTTCCTGCAACACAACTTTCCCACAGCCTGGAAGCAAACATTGGTCTTCTCAGACACAGCACAGAATGGGAAATGGGCTGCCATAAAGACAGCTAACAACAGGTCTTCTATTTCTGCACTGAAGTAACCCAGACCAATCTTACATCAATATTCTTAACCACCTGAGGCATAAACAGAGGTTTGTCCTGCGAAAAACTGTTGCAGAAAGTCAACTAGATCCCACGGGCTTGGCATTCTTTGGGGAAATCATGAGACCTGAATTTTAATCTGGACTCAGCTGGCCATATGGCCCAGGGTAAGTCACGTCACCTGCCTATGCCTATAGACTGTCAGCCCCTCCAATTTGGTTCCTGATGCTTGTGACAGCTGGCACTTTATTTTAAGACTCAGATCCTGGAGACTGATAATTACATGTGAAACTCAAGCACCAAAATAGTTTTAAAGACTCGACACTGAAGAATGAAAAACCTGAACACAGAAACTGCAAATTTCAGCAAACAGAAGAACAGACCCAAGGTGCTTTTCCTGGA